TAGTGCTCCTAGGTCCGGTTCGGGTCCGATCCGGTTCGGGTTCGGTCCGGTATCGAACCGGACTCGAACTCTAGATTTTAACAATTTCAAACTTCGAACCGGACTCAAACTCAATTATAAGTTCGATCTGGGTTCGGTCCGAAGTTTGCAAACTAGTTCGAGTCTGAATTCATAGGCCGACATTCGTATGATTGGCTGATGTAAATCAATTGCCCAGCTGATGGGATTTACCCCCGCAGCGGGAAATAAGAGTGTTATTCTTCGTTTTTTGTGACATCATGATGATGTTTTACGACATATTAAATAAGCTTTTTTTTTCGTTAGAATTTTTTTTTTTAACGCTCTTTCTTTTTTACATTTAAAATAGATATTACTAAATGCGAAAAAATGGTCAAATAAAAAGAACGATCAAGACGTTTAAGGTAAATTTAGATTTGAAAAAAAACTCTTACAATCTGTTAACTTATTGTATTTAAGTTTAAACTCTTTATTTAATAATTCTAATACTTATTTATATTTAGTATTTAGTAGATTTACAATAGTATAGATAGAGACGTGTAGTATTAATAATATTAAGTGCAACGGCTGTAATAACTAAAAAATAAGATTATTTAAGAATTTTTATAAATAGATAGTGAAATTTCTTGAAGTTTTTTTTTGACGGGTACAAATGCGAGTAACAAATAGAAAAATTTATTAAGTAGGATATTGCCTAATTGAGCGTCTCTAACAAAGGCAGTAATAATTAGAATATGATTTCTGTAATTAAATATAATTAATTAATGAAAGGATAATTAATAAAAATAGTATATAAGTTTCGCTAGGATGTAGTATAAAGTTTTCTGTATTATGAATTCGTTTGATTAAATTATGTAATCTGATTAGTATAGCGGGCTTTCAGTTTAATTGGTTGATTTTTGTAGATATGGAAACAATATTATTGGTTAATCGAAACTGTTCGCTAAAGATTATTATGAATAATTAATAGCTAAAATTTAAAATAGCATGAATAAATATATTACTACGAAATATCATAATTATAACTCAAGACCTCATCTTGGTACAAACAAAAATCCAAGATTTATTTAAAAAAATACAGTTTTGAATTAAAAAAAATAAAAAAAAAAAAACGAAAAACGAAAAAAAATAAATGCCCCCAAAAAATAAATGAAAAGCATAAAACTTATCATAGAAGACAATAAAAATGTATTAAAAAAATTTTAATTATATATCAACTACAGTAATACAAACGGATTTTAATCTTAATTCTAAATACAAACCTCCCTAAGAGCACTCTCGAACTGCACAACCTCTCTAAATGCACTCTCAATTTCTGGCCCAAACGTATTCTTGACCTTCAGAGATGCACTTTTTTCCTATTATTCTCTAAATGCCTGTTGTTAAAAGTTTGGTCACTATGACGTGCATTTAGAAAGGTTTGACTGTAATCTTAAGCGTGGCACTATATTTTAATCTCTTATAAAATTTACAAGCTCATGATTTATTGCTTCGTGTTACTACCTTATTTTACTGGCAGTACGTATCTGTCTTTAGGATAATAAATAAATTATAATAAAATAGATTAGCGATGTAAACCTTTTAAACCTTTTGAAAATACTGCTATTTATCAAGTTAATAGATTCAAATTTTATATTTATACTTATTTGCCAAATTGAAACGCTAAAACATACCTCTTATTTAACTTCCGAATTACCTCACGGATTACCGAATTACTTTGACAGTTCATAAAGCAAAGCGTGAACTTTCGATTTTTTTTTGTCTCACGTTCTCGGAATTCGTTTTCGTTACTTTAATAAGATAAGATGATCATCAAAATCAGCCAATCATAATAAAGCCCCAAATCTACCAAGACTCTTACGCGAAAATAAAATGATCTATAATTGTAATAGTTACCTCATTAAATTATGTCTTTGTTTTTTTTTTTTTTTTATTTTATTTTATTTTTTTTTTATTATTTTATTCTACACAACATATACTAATTCTATCAATTTGGATAACAGAAAATGCGTGAACTGCAGCCTATATAACACTTTCTATCGCTTGGTATCGAACATGTAGCTCTCAGAAAATAACATAAGGATAGAAAAATGAAAATATGAATGTTGATGATTGGATTGAAAAATTTCAATTTAAAGGTGTGAATTTCTTTTAATTAATTAGATAACGTTCAAAAAACCAGCCAGGAGAGATTCCCTGTATTTTCAATAATATAGTTAGACGGTAAAAGAGTAGTTTTGGGTGAAGAAGAAGAGTACATTGACGCGTCTGAAGCTGATATACGTCTTAAGTCATAACTTCGGGTGCCTGAAGTTGCACTTGACTAAAATTAGCCCTGAAATTAATCTCTTTTGCATGCGTCAGTGGGTAAATTTAGGCAAGTGTAATTTCAGGCGGATATCAACTTCAGGTGTGACATAAATATATTATCATGTATGATTATGCTTAAGATATTGCCAGGCTCACAAGAGAATTGCTTAAAAGTAGTAAGTTAAAATAGTTTATTTATGGCTTAATATAGATAAATTATATTAACCTCGTGAATTTTATTTATAAGTTTAAAAGCTATACGTAATTCAGATTAGCGGGCAATAATCTTGAGGTATATAGACCAACTCAGAATACAACTAATAATGAATGAAAGTATTTCAATATGCAAGTTCGTATATTTACTATTTTTTTTTTTTTATACGTATACGTTAATTTAGATGTGTATAATAGGCATTATTTTAGGTATATGTAAGAAAATTTATTAATCTTATTATTTTTTAAAATGAGATAGTTGCCATGAGTGATGTAATATGTCGTATAACGTTATTACCCGAAAATTTTTGCTGGTCAATCAAATTTCAAGTAAATACAAAAAATCAATAGTTTTGTACGAGATGGATGGTTCACGTGCTTTACACAGTTATAATCAATTTTCGTATACTATCCAACCAAGTTGCTAAATATACTGTACATAACAAAATCTTCTTTTGCCAATTTCTTTATACTGTATAAGCGCGAAATAACGCCCACCTGCGCTAATTAATTGACCTTCGCGTTATTTCGAATACACCCATGTACATTAATTTCGAAATAAGAGTAGATTTTCTAAATCCAATACATTTTTAGAATATTCATTTATGGAGCATAATCTACATATATAATATTAAATAATTACATTAGACCGATCAAATTATGTGCACTTATCATTATAGGGAAAGTGCATGTGAAGTGCACTTATAGAGAGTGCACCTATGGAGTGTCGATTGTATATCATTAGGATGCGCGTTAATTCAGGACGCCTATGAAGGTTCCGATTTTCAAAATAACGCCACGAAGCGTTATTTCGCATTTATACGGTAGTTTATTGAATGAAAATCCATTCAATTGCATAAGTTGAAATTCTCTGATGCTTGTTGGGATCACATGCCAAACACCATGCTTTAAACGTGTTGTCTTTATTACAATGTATATTTTAATCATCGTCAAATATTATGTATATTATTAAAAATTTATTGTAATACTCACTGGTCAAATAGAATAGTAATCTGAAGGGTGTTAATTAGTAATAAATAAGTGTTTGTAAACATAAATCACTTTTTTAATCCACCGATTAATAGATCATCTTTATACTCACTAACACAATTTCTACATTTTTTAGAGAGATCAACAGAATATCTGTTCCGATAGGCATAACAGATATCAAATACTTTTTGATAGAAGTATCCGATATCTGATATGCATATCATCAGTTATCTGAACTAATATCCTTCATATAGGTGAAAATACACGTCAAAAATCGGTTAGCTATCAGTGATATTCTGCTGATCCCTCAGAAATGTTATAGAAATTTAAAATTCGACCTAAATTAGGGGTGAATGACGGCATACGGCATTTATACGGCATACGATACTTTTACTTATACGGCAAATATGCCGTATTGCCGTGATATTTTTGTTGGGGTAACTACCTCCAAAATTCTAAATGTCTGCAACTCTAGTATTTAGTTATTGAATATTCTTCGTTGCATGTAATATCATATGAAAATTTATATTAGATTATCTTAAATGAAACATCTGCATATCATTGTAGCGTTGAATCTCTGCATATATTTGTATAATTACCCACATAACTTAATTGAGTTTGCTACGTACTTGTTTTTATTCTAAATCCGAATCTCTTCAATTTTAAAAAATAGATATAAGAGTACTCGAGAGCGAAAAGCAGTAAATTAAATATTTTTTGACCATAAAATATTGTACGATTTTGACCAATCAAATTTCAAGGTCAGGCTAATCTTGAAGCTAAAAATATTTATTTACTAGTTTTTTTCTCTTGAGCACTCTTATGTAATCCCTAATCGAATCTGTAAATAAACTGGATTTAAATCCAACATTAGCCTTACTTGAATTTGGCAATTAAAATCTGGTTTATGAGTCGCATGTAATCCGCATACGTATTAAAATTTTATCTTTTTGTCAATTTCCCGGTTTTCATTATATAAGTGCGATATGCGTACGTAATCATCATATTTTAAATTTGTCTAACGCTAATGATTTGCCTCAGAAAACAATTTTTGAATAAATCAGGAATTCAAACAACAATCAAGTTTTAATCAGGATAAATTATCTTAGCTGGGTAAACAGTATATAATTAATAATTAATTATAAAATTGCGATTATAATACAGTAATATATGTTGATTGTTGGCATTTTAATTAGTGCAATAAGTTCACAATGAGTTATCCGCTGGCATAGTTTAAAACGGGGCTGAATGACCTATTGAAAATAGTGTCCATTTTCAAAGTATCATCCTTGATTGAGCATTAGTAGTAAAATCTGAGATTCTTGTTGTTACCTGATTGGCACATTGAATGATCACTGTTTTCAATAGATTGCTTTAGCCCTAGTTCAAAATAATATGTAATTGCAACAAGTAATATATATATAAGACAATATATTTTAGAAAGTTGCTTTTAGAAGAAATTATCTTCTCATACTCAGTATCGACTATCTAAGTGTGAATATTTCCTCGTAACAATGAGTTCTTTATCTGTACAAGCTGAAGGATTTATATCAAGCTATGATAACGACCATGATAATAACCACTACGATGATGACCACGATGATAACCACGATGATAACCACGATGATAACCATGATGATAACCATGATGATGACCACGACGATGAACATGATGATGATAATCATAAAAATAATAGTATTAGCAAGCGAAGTAATGAAAGTGAAGTATGGTTATTTTTTAAAAAAGTTGTGTGGGAAAAAAAACAAAAAACAGCAAAGTGTGATATACCAAAGTGCCCACATAAACCATTTTCTTGTGGATCTGGGGGCTCAACCAACCCATTATGGCGACATTTAGAAAGTTCACACTGGTCGCAGTATGTTACAACAAAGGAATATCGTAGAAAAAAGAAGAAGGTGCAAAATAAACATAGTAATATTGAAGAAATATTTGAAAGAGTAAGTTATTACTTGTTTCTTTAGTTTTTTTTAAGATTAAACTAATTTAAAATAACTTTAGCATCCTAAGAACTCCACTGCTACAACTTTAACTGATATTAATAATGTAAAACTTCGTAACATGTTCGCCACCTGGATCATCAATCGTCAACGTCCATTCTCTATCATTGAAGATCCCGAGTTAGTTGAAATTATTCAGTATTTAAATCCTAAGGCACAATTAGTCAAAGCTGATGCAATAAAGAATAAAATTAAGTCACTTTATGATTTGGGAAAAAGAGAATTGAAGGCAAGTATTATAATTATTATAATTATATTATTTAGGGTGTTTTCAAGCGTCTCGTTTAATGTAATTGGCCAGTGACAGAAGTCATGCACAAGTATTAAATAATCTTCATAATACGAAATACGATATAAATTTTAGCCAATTAGCATTACTCGATTATAAAAAAAAATAGTCTCAAACATCTTTTTTCATTACGATAACGGACTTACTTGACCAGCAAAAATATTTTTCACAATTAAAAATTGAACACTGACCTATTAATTTAGATGCTTGAGAGCATTCTTAGTATCTACAATACCTTGGAAGAATTTTATTTTTAAATTGGATATTACCAATAAATACTAAGTAAAGACAGAGGTATTATTAGTGATGTGCCATTTATATAATACCTGAAAAATTTTAGCGTACAGTTCGTACAGTACGTACAGTACGTACAGTACGTATAGTTCTTTTCCCGGATTGGCTGGCAAAAGTGATGCAAAAATTTTAGCGTACAGTACGTACAGTACGTACCGTACAGTACGTATAGTACTGTACGTGACACATCACTAGGTATTATATTAGGTATTATTTTTGGAATGCTACTGTATTATAGCGGTTTAATTGTATTAAATATTTAATATTCAATTTAAAACGCGGGACTTTTTGTTTATATAGTTAAAAAAAAAAAAAAAAATTATTAAAATTCTTAGCTCTTATGAATAATGATTCGATAAAGCTATTTCAATATTATCTTTTATTTCACTAAGTATTTATACTATTATAGGCATATTTTTCTACTATCGATTCTAATATTTCCTTTACATCGGATCTTTGGACATCCCCGAACAACAAAGCTTTTATTTCTGTTACTGCACATTATATAGACGAATGCTGGACCCTTAAAGAAACATTAATTGACTTCGGTTTGTTAAATGGTAAACATGATGGAATGAATATTTCGAATGGATTCTTTAAGGTGATAAAAGATTATGGAATTGCATCAAAGGTTCTTATTTATTTCTAAATTACCTGCCATTTAAAACTATTATGGTTATTACTGGTTCCAATTAACTTACCA